GAGCCGCAGCTTCAGCTGCTCAGGTAGAGAGGCTGTGTAGCCCGGTGTGTTTTTTCGCTGATTCGGTTCTGCAGGTTCTCTGCTGGTACACTGGAGACGGGGATCAAGCAGTTTGTCTCACTCGGGATAGACTGTGCTTTTTTGGTTCATAGTTTATGATTGACGTGTGATTTATTCGCGTTTAGAGGGAATAAATTTCCGTTATAACGGAAACGTGGGCACAGTTATCTAACGTTATACAAAATACACAGACTAACTAACTAACTAACTAACTAACTAACTGATTGACTAACATAAACAACTGAAAATTGAAAAAAAATTAGCTTGCACCGTTAGCTCCGGTAAGGGAAAGCATGAGGGAAAGCGGCTGACCGGAAGTCACGCACAAAAAACGGAAGTTGATCACTATTTACTTCCATGTTTGAAAATAAGGTGGATACCCGGCTCACTTCACTGAATGGCCATCAGCTGCGCTCATTACATGCATTGATGTATAGAAAAATAAACATTTCTATACTGCTACAGTCAGTTTGGCTGTAGAATCTAAAATTTCTCCAGGGGGAATTCCCCACAGACACCCCTGGAAGGCTGGGTTGCAGAAGGTGTTTAAGAGGTTTACACACACACACTGGGTGAGGATGCACTTGTTTGATTTAGATAGATAAATTTTGTGGGGGGAAGAGCTGCACCCCTTTTCCTGTTGCTCATGTTTTGTTGCCATTATCAATAAATGATCCAACACAATGCATATTTGAGTTGTATGTCGTAGCTAATGACTCCTGCTACAAAAGTTGTTTTACAGGCCTGGCTTGAAAGGGTTAATACTCATTTGGAATGCAATACATTTTCCATCACCTCTTGTTTGAAAAAACATTAAAGAATGTAAATTTGATGCATTTAATTTATGTATTCAGCATAAAATATCATAAGTCTATTTTTGTGTGCTTTGGGGCATGAAGGAGTTAATATCTGAAAATTCCCAAGGGATATCACCGAGCACCCTCTTGTATTTTGAAGAGGTACCCCCAAGCTACAAGAAACAGCAAAGAAAAAAATTGCACCCGACAAAACAAGGTTCAACCCCATGGCTCCCGGACTGCGTCGAATCATGTTGGAGAGGTCGTTTACGTCACCTGACGGGGCGGGGTTAGAGAGTCGTAAATGCGCCTGTTCCTTGGGCGCACAGGTGATCTTCAGTGTGTCGTTGTGGATCTGTGAGATTATGGGGAAGCTTCAGGAGTTTGAGATCACATTTGATAAAAACAAAGTGGTGTACAGTCCGGGCGAGTCCATCTCTGGAACCGTGACTATCAAACTGGGTCAGCCGCTGCAGTGTAAAGGTGAGAACGCTTATTCCACCAACATTTGATCACCTGGTGGGTAAACGTCGCCGCCGCTAAACAAGGAAGTGGGATTTAGCCAGTAATACATGGGTGTAAATTTATATTCATCATTCACTGTGATCTTACTGTGGAAATAGCCTTTCTTGTTTGAAAATGACTTTAATGTTGACATGATAGTGTGTGGTTGTCGGTGTCTGTGGTTGTAATGGGTTTCAAGTGGACTTTTTAGGGCACTTTAAGTCGTTTCATAGAGCAATACTACTCCGTAATGTTCCTGTAATATTCCTACACATTAATCCAGGGTTCCGGTGAAAGATTTGACTGGGAGTTGATGGTTTCATGCGTTGGTCTTTTTTTTAATTATCATAATTCTAAAGACATGGGATTTCTTATATACTGAGACTAGAGTCCCCCCCCCTCCCACAGAAATAATGTAATACAGACTCTGGTCTACTCTGTGCAATTTATTTTCAAATATAAAATCTCTACCTTTCCAAAACATAAACTCTTCACCTTTCATCTAAGAAAAACAGTCCTGTTTTTATCTTCACATTGTATTTTAAGATAACCCATTGTGTTTTTAAAAGGCTCATTTACTTTAGGAGACATTTCTCAACACATAAAATAATACTTATTATAGAAGTTTATTTAAAAAAAAAACCCAAACAAAAAACCCCAAAACATTAGGTTTCCAAATCATGGAAAAAGAAAAAGAAAAAAAATGAATTTAAAAATAATACGTAAAAGTTAACTGTTGTGACGTCACCCATTAGTTTGCTGACTCATTTTGAAGCATCAAGTTCAGCATTTCAGTTGTCACTATCTTGATTTGTGGAGTCAGAAGTGACCATATTTGGAGAAGAGGGTAGGGCTGTGGAGGAACTAGGGATGGATCTGACTCACATACTGTAGCGATGCCTCACAGACAACCTGTAACTCAAGCAGCCCCACCCTAAAATAGGCATAACTTTGAGCCTTGATAAAATGTAAACAGGCGAGTTATACACCCCCCGCACAGGTGTCATAAATGTTGAAATTAGCTAAAGAGACCAAAACATTTTTTTGTACCGGGCTGTTAACACGTTTTTTTCTGCTGTGAAGTTTGGCATTTCAACATGGGGAGCTAAGGGGATTGACTCTGTTTTGGAGCCAGCATCAAGTGGCCATTAAAGGAACTTCAGTTTTTGTCAGTTTTTGGCACTTTTCTTGGGCTTAATTTTTCAGCCTTGGGAGTTGCTGCTTGTTCCAAATGTGATTCATGATTTTCACTAGACTGACTCTGCACATCAGAAATGAAAAAATGTAAAGGAATTAGTGAAGCTTTTATTTATTGACCAAAAATATTTCAAAATTGAATATACTGAGTTTAAGAAATAATAATAATCAGCCTATTAAATGTTCATCAATATAATATCCCAACATCTACTATGAGTCTACATTAGTTTTGTGTAATATCCATGATGCTTATGTGGTTTGTTCGTGTGCATTCCAATGTCTATAGTCTTGTTCTTTTCTATAGTGTGACGTTCTTCTTGGATAGCATATTGTGCCAGCCTGGCTAGGCATTGTCATTTGTGTACTTATGTGGACCATGTTCCTGCCCTTACTGTTCCACTGCTGCTCATTCCATATCTATTGCACACCATATACGGTCCAGTCCAGTTCTTGTTGAACATGGTACTATGCATGTGCTGGAGCCTCAGTGCTCATTTCTTCATAGTCCAGTCTGTTCCTTACCATTATTTGTCCAGCTTTGTTGTCCTTGTTGCTAGCTGTTATATCTATTTCTGCATCAGTATATGAGAGCAATGCAAAATTCAGAGTCAGAATCCTTGTTGACAATAAAAGTCATTCTAATTGTTTAAAGAGACTTTTTAGGACAGTATTTGCTCTAATTATGAAGTGACACTTCCTTTCTGAGATCATTCTCAAGTGTTCTCTCTGTCTCTCTCTCATTGTATCTGTCAAAGTGATCAGGGCAGCTTTTTTCTGTGTTTGGGAGTTTCTGTTTGAATGCTTGCAGTGCCTCCAGTCTGTTTACATTCCTCTTCAGGTAAAGCTGGTCTGACCGCTGGCTTCATATTGCTTCCTCCCAGGGAACAAACTCTCCCCAAGCAACAGTTTGAATCACTGATGGATTACGAAGTGGGCTCGGCCCTGAGACATATTTTTGGGCAAATATTGACAGTGCATCAAATTTGTTTCAGTCATTATGATTGGATACAATGAGTCATATTGAATGTAAAAAAAAAAGAAAAGAAAAAAATAGTATTTGTTTTTCAAGTGTTTCTAGGCTGAAAGGACAAGGTTACATTTTATTAAATATATAAGATATGATTATATGCTTGTGTTATGGGCCAGTTTTTCTGAAGTCAGTTCTGAAGGAGAGATATCTACACCACCATACAATGATATTTTAGACAAGAGTGTTCTTTTAACTTTGTTGCAACAGTTTGTGTTTGTCCCATTCCTGTTTCAACATGAAACATGAAACAGGAATGGGACAGTGTCCCCCTGCACAAAGTCAGCCCATAGAGAAATGCTTTCTGTTTGGTGTGAAAGAATTTGACTTGCCTGCTCAGAGCACTGACCTTATCCCCATCGAAACTCTTGTCCACACTCATGTGCTGTCTTGGCTTGGTTTGGCCCGTCAGTTCAGCACAGCTGGGATTTGCAGGATTACAGGACTACCTGCTTCAAGGTGTGTCTTTAAGTGATAATGGCTTGTCTTGATTGATGATGTTTTAAAGCAGGGGGCTGATCCACAGCTAAAGTCCCTCTTTATTTTGCTGCCAGTGTTTTTCCATCATGTAGCAGGGCAGGTAAAAGGAGTTTACCTGTTGGAGGCAAGCTGTTTACAGAGGTGCAATAAGAGCATGAGCGATTCATCTAACATCTCACTGTGGCTGTTTCTGATTTTACTCTTCCTCCCTGCAGTATTAGTCGATTTGTTTTTATTGAAGAAAAACCACTAACAAACTTCCGCTCATTTGGTGATGAACCTATTTCATTTCCTATAGACTTTCCCACAGTAAAAGTCCCCTGTTATTTTGTTATTTAAAAGCTTTTATTGTGAAGCAGAATAAGGACATTTTGGGTTTTCATCAGCAGTTACTTTTTTAAATTTTGTTTTTTATTGAACAATAATTGCAAAACATACAAAATTACAGTTGAAACAATATTTTTTCCTTCCATTTTTCTTTTCTGAACAAACATCCTGGTACAGGTTCAACACACTATGACATTGATTCCACAAAAAAAAAAAAATAAATAAATAAAGTACAGTACAGTAGAAACAAAAGGAGGATTGGTAAATGATAAAAAAAATTGAAAAAAGTAAAGGAGAAAAGAGGAGAAGGTCTTTTGAAAAACAGTGCATGAGAGTAAGAAGCAATAGCATACATTTATATAATATTTCTCTCCTAATCAGGAGGGAGTGTTCTAAGGCTATTAAAATAAATTATCAGGCATTGCCATTTCTTATATATAAACGGTCTTCAGAACCCCTAATAGTGAATTTTAGATCAGGAGTTACTTAACAGACTCCTGTACATCTGAAAGTGAACATGAAACAGGAAAGTAAAGCAGCTCTCTAAAGTACAAACTGTAGAGTTTCTCTACTGCATCCCTGCAAACCACAGAGATTCAGTAAGAAGTTGAAAAGTACTATGAGCTAAACACACAGAGACTGGTCTCCTGCACTGACAGGTAAGTTGACATTTGGAACACAAACCATTTCAAAGTTGTTGTTTTTTGACACTCACATTTTTATTGGAATTTATTACATTTAAACAAAGAAATACATATTTGAATCATGTATTCCATCGCAGAATTGGATAGAAAATTAGGACAGATATGTTAAGTAAGAAACAAAAAACAGAATAATAACAGTCATGGTTACCGGCATCCATTATCCCAAACAGAGTACATAAATCCAAATCAGTCAATCCTTAGGCATCATTCACTGTGTCGTACTGTGTCCATTTCTCCCACTTAGTTAAGAAGACATTTTCTCTCATTTTAAGCCGATGGGTCATTCTCTCCATGGTGCAGACCTCTCTTATGATCTCTAGCCATTGAATTACAGTGGGTGGTTCAGTCTTGCACCAATTTCTTGTTATTGCTTTTTTACATGTGACCAGTAACATTTTGGTTAAGTATCTATCTTTTTCTAGAACATAATTATTCAAACTTCCAAGATACATAACTTTACATTCCCTTGGTATTACATATCCCAAAATGTCTTTCATTATGTTATGTACACTTTCCCAGAACGAGTTAAGTTTATGACACTTCCAGAAGATGTGTGTATGGTTTGCTTCTCTCTCTCCACATAACCGCCAACATTTATGTTGGGAACCAGTTTGTTCACTCTTCAATTTAGGTGTAATGAAGTAGCGAGTCAGGTTTTTCCATCTAAATTCCCTCCATGTTCTTGAATTTGTAGTTGTGTGTTGTTTCCTGCCCCAGTCCCTGCTTAAATCTGTCATAATATGCAAACCAACTTAACAGTTTTAAATCTCTCTCTAATTTGTGTTGTTTGACAAAATCAAACCAGATATTCAATGTGTCCAAAGTTATTGGATCGATCGTGTCTTGTAGTGACTTCATTAATTTAGCATTGCCAATCAGGGACTGGGTTGGAATACCTGCCACCGCCCTCTCAATGTCTTTCCACTTTGCAGTATAGTCTTTCATCACACCACTTGACCACTGGTCTGAGTTGTGCTGCACGATAATAGTCTTTCAAATTGGGAAGTGCCATACCTCCTTTATGTTTTTCCAATTGTAGTGTACAATATTTTATCCGTGTTTTTTTTTACCGTTCCATACAAATCTGGAGATCATTTTATCCCAGATTTTAAACTTTTCTTGTGGAATCCTAATAGGCAGACATTGAAAAAATATAGTAGTCTAGGGAAAATGTTCATTTTAATTACTTCAATTTTTGAGTTGAAATCTAATGGCAGGATCGACCATCCTTCTATGTCTCTACT